TTCCTCCTGAAGCTCTGGACTTCCTGTAAGTTCTTCAATATACATCTCTTTCTCTTTAACGAGTTGTGTCAATTGCTTCTGCTCCTCCAGAGCAGAGGACAGCATTTCCTTCGTTTCTTTATGGTCGGCGTCCATCTGCTCGATCCTCTTTTTGAGGTGTACTATTTCCAGGTCTTTCTCTTGACTGTGTTGAATGAAATGCACATGCTCTAAAGGGGACAATTCTTTGATAGTTTGCTCATCCTTGTTTGTTTCCTCCAACAGCTTCTTTTCCGCCCGAGCCAATTTTGCTATTAACCGTCCTTTTTCTATTTTTAAAGCCCTCACAGCAGTGTTGTTTTCCAGAGAATCCTCGTTGTTCCGGAGAATAGATTCTTCCAGTTGATGTCCTACATCCTGGAGCGCCAAAACGAACTTTTGGTTTTCTGCTCTGAGATCAGAAGCAATGTTGTTTAAATTGTCATTCAGCCGCTCCATTTCTGCAAGTTGTTGCTTCAACCTTCTAAGCTCAGTTTCCCTTTCTTGAAGTAAGTCATCTTTCCCATGACTGGCAGACTCTTGATGTTGCAGGTCTTCTATCCGTTTTTCATACTTGAGGAGTTGTTTGCGGTGCCTGTCAATGATGTCGGCCAGTTTTTCTTGATGGACACTGTGCAGTACCGCAACTCCGAGTTGATGTTCCTCGATCTCCCTCATCCGCCTCTCTTCTAGGTCCCTGATGGTTCTCTTCAGTTTCCAGATGGCATTGGAGTCTCAGCTATTTGGTCCCTTGGACAAATGTTTCCAAAGTGTAAGATCAGCCTCCAGTGTTTCGATCTCATTGAGAGTGTCTTGGTTTGTGTCTGAGATGATATGACATCAGCAAAGTCCATGGTGAGATCCGAGTTGTAGCCGGTCAAGGAAGTCTCACTGCCATCCACTCCCCCCTGGGAATGGCCTAGGCCAGAGCCCAGGCCACCAACCCAGGAGCACATCTTCGCGGGTCATATAACTGCCGCGGTCCGCTGTGGAAAAGCGTCCAGCGCAGTCGGACTACCCCGCCAAGTGTCCCAGAACCCCTGCCTGGGCCAGGTTAAGAATCAGAAGACAATAGGCATTTCTAGGCAACGCCTGCGTGGGCCCGGCACCCGCCTCCCCTGCGCAGGCCACGTTGCTAGGAAAGGCCGAGGCCGTGGGCCTTCCCAGGGCCGACTCTGGCCACCGGTCCCGGTCCCAGCCGCTCAGCCCCACGACTTCCCACGCAGGGCTGGGCCCCTTCCCCTGTTCCCCCTGCTTCCTGGCTGTCCTGGGTGGGCCCCTAGTGAGTGCTCCTGCCTGACTGCCCCCAGGTGCCCGCCCACAGAAAATGCATCTGGCCCTGGACTTTCCCCCTAAGTGGTATCTCGGTACACAACTCCTGTGGCTTGTGCTTTCCACACAACAGTATCTTTTTAATCGAGGTGAAATGTACACAGTCACACGCATCCATCCACCTAGGAAAGCAAATCCTAGGTGCATTTGAGAAATGTCTACACCTGCGCAGAGGCACGGCCCTCAGGGAGACTTTGGGCATTTCCAGCGTCCAGAGCCTCCAGAGTGCCCTGTCCCTCCCTGCCCCGTCAGCCCTGCGGGGACAGCGCGTCCCAAAGCCGGACTTGGCGGTTCTCTGGCGGCCGCATGCGCCGCCCTTCCGCCGCCTCCAGCCCGTGTGCGGCCTAGTCGCGTCAGGCGGTTGCGGGGGCGGCTGCGGTGCCTGGTCAGGGGGTCCCCTGGTCTGTACAGGGGGGCCGGTGTCTCGGGTGGCGGAGGCCCGAGCGCGCACCACGTCCCCGGCCTGGCGCAGGT